TAAAGTCAAATAACAGTTTATTCCATAGTTAAAAATGTTACACTTGGAAACGTCATAGTTTTAATCTACTGCTCGTTCACTATGTTGACTTCCCTGAGAAGAAAGAGCAAGAAACTCTATGGATTGTAATTAATAAACTTAAATGCTATGGAATACACTTTGAATCATATTTGTGTGGAATTTATACTCACGTCGTCTTTCCATACATGTTTATCTGACACGCACTCTTCAATTTTGTAATATAACTTTTCAATTAGCATGCACGTGGGACTTTTCAACATAATTATGTCTCAAGTTGACGGACGCAGTGGCATTGCCTCTCAGATCTCAACGCAATCACAAACGATTTAAGCTCTTACTATTATGGACAGGCGTGTCGCTTACCACCAGGCGTACGACTTGTTCTTACAAAATGTGTGTAATTGCATAATTCCCTTGCTGATTTTACTGATTCTTTCAGTCATGTAATATACATAAAGGTACCTATATATTTCTGAGAAGGTCTAGCACATGTAGCGCACTAAAGTACCATTCGCACTAAACATACTAAAGTAGTAGGTACAAGTAAAGTAGTCCAGGGTAATACCGCCACCTGACCTATTTCTGTCACCAAGCAGTAATGTGAGCATTACAGCGTTCCGGTTTTGAAGGGTTAGGGTGCTGGTGAAATTACATGCAAATGGGACTTGTCAACTTATGTCTCAGGTTGATGGGCGCAGGACGGGCTCAGTATACTTACCATCAGGCGCACGACTTGTTCGTTACGTCACTTAATATTATAAAATTCTTACCGTATCGATGGTGTACACAATAATGTATATGCCATTGTGATGACAAGTTTTGCCAATCGGTGTTTTGGTATTCGCTCATTGTTATCCTGGGTGGAAAGGAATGGTACGTCGTGAGGGGAGACTTTCATGCACCCATTTTCACGTGAAATATGCCTCTATAGATTTATTTATTTATTAGATTCGCCAACATATATACACTATTAAACATGGACAGAAAATAACACTACAGAAATTAGTCGAATGTAAACCCAATAAATAGGCAAATACAGCACGTATCGTCGCTAGAAAAGGCGTAAGCGCCATTTTGAAAAATTTTTCATTGGTTCATGTTTTAGGTTTAAAAACCTGTTTTAAAATATTTACGTCCCGTTTGATATTCAATTTTGGTTTCAATTAAATGAAAACAGTCAATCTAAAACATGGTCCCTTGAAAAAAATTTCGAAATGGCGCTTACTAGAAAACACCGATGACGTAACATCGTATCAGAAAATCTACTGTGTTTTATATTATAGACAAACAAATGGACATGACGTATACAAATAAGTACCTAAAGGAGATTCAATTAAATTGTAAAGTCACAGTATTGTTAGTCAGTATTGTGGCTGTTAGATATAAACTCTAAGGTATCCATGTTCTTGATATTGAAAATATTACACAAGTAACACTAATTTTATATTGTCCTCAGGAGTAAACCCGCGGAAACAGCGTCGGGAGCGAACGACGTTCACTCGTGCGCAGCTAGACGTTTTAGAAGCTCTGTTCGGCAAGACGCGGTACCCGGACATCTTTATGAGAGAAGAGGTTGCGCTGAAGATCAACCTCCCCGAAAGTAGAGTACAGGTAGATCACAATACAATTTTTATTATTTAGATAATTTCACGATAAAAAATCCAATGTTGTAAGGAGGAGGTTCTCTACCGCGGAATGACTTAACGCAGCTCCAGCCAAGTCAAAACTCCAAGTTGTTGTAAGAAAGATGTTATGGCAGTTGTTCCCAAGATTGTCTTTCACCCTATATGAGCGCAACGTACGTCAATATCAGAAGGCACGGGCAGCAGTTCGCAAGAACGGATTTTACTCCTAGTTTGCCTGAGTTCTCAGTATTCTCAAATTTCTCAACATAAACAAAATTGTATTAAAGCAGTCACCATTCAAAAATCTTGACACCGCGATTCAGAAATAGCGTTTAGATGCCAATGCCATTTGTCGGTAAACTTGGACTGGAACTATTGTGACAAACAAAGTTAAGTATATGGTTTAAATTATGTTTGTTACAATACTTAAGTAATAAAAGTTGCAACGGAAATTAGGTAGTGAACACTAGTCCGAGAATGGCCACAATATCCATATTTTTTATTAAAAAAAGGAATCGACTTCAAACTTTGCTTATATGTATACATACAAACTGAAACTAAAAAGTTAATCGTATTCATCGCCTAGTTTAGGAGTAAATATAGAATATTGTCTTCAAATTTAAATGGGACCAATACCTACTGAGGTACTCACTTCCAACAAAAATCATCATCATCGGTTCATATATTGTGTATCATGCGCACAAAAAAATATACAGTCGAATTGAAAACCTCATACTTTTCCTGAAGTTGGTTAAAAAGTAGATACTATTGCCTCCATTTCTATGTCCAAAAACAACTTGTGGAGGTAATATTCCTTACGCATTCATGCGACACTGATGATCAATAAGAAATATTCCGCTTCAGTAAAAGCAAAATTAAGCCGTTCTTAAAATTTTCAAGATGGGGGGCGCAATCTCGTTATGTCGGTTAATGTGCCGTCAAACAATACTGATTCGATTTTCAAATTCGGAGCGTAATTCCATTGGCGCTAATGCGCTACCCGTGTTGGTATAAATTGAACGTTTCAACGAATTAGGAGTCAGTCAACCGACCAATCCGGAGTCGTGATGATGTCGTGATTGATTGGTATTATAATTTTTTTAATCTTTTAGACAGTGATTTCTACAAATATAAAGACCGAATTTACTAAATTTAATCCATTTTATGGAAAACACTTAAATACTATTTTGTATGGGCCACCGTACTCCATACATGGATTGTAGTGGTAGTACGCAGAGAAAGACTTGCAAAGACAATGGTAAAAGTATATTGCACGTAAAAATACAGATACTATGGTGGCAAATCTTTCCTTGATGTCGTGTATAGGTGGACAGTTGGAAACGTACTACGTGAAAACAGAGTGTACATTGCATGTTTAAATAAAAATGCGGCACTTGGCTAAAGTAGATCACCGCGTGCGCAGAGTTATGCCGAAGAATGTATGAAACCATACAGTTTTATAGTACTATGTCTGGGGTTATCTATTATTAATTTTAAGGCAAACGCTATTACTGTCCATGAACGGGGTAATTACTGAATCTACCGATGTACTTTTCTCGAAGTACACAAACGTAAAACATAACAAGATCCTCCCTTTTATTTATTTATTTATTACATATTGCTTATAGTCAACCCAAACGCAATAGTAAGACTTAAAGCTAAATGTACAATCAATCTTAAGTCAATTACAAAAGTGAATAAAATATGAAAATTGATAAAATTATAAATACAATGCCTAACAATAAATTATTACTGATTAACATTACTGACAAAAAAAAAGATAAAAACCATTTGTTATTACATTTTAAACTAACATTTAATACTACTGTCTCCGGTCAAGGACTCCAGATAGCGTCCTGCGGAAAATATGAATTTTGTTTCTAAGCATGCAAAGAGGTCCAATGAGGAGTCTAAGTTAAGCAACTGATTTAGATACCTAAGTGCACGGGACAGGGGGGCCATCTCACTCACTCTACATCGTGTGGTAGGTACTGCAAATAACCTCATTCTATGAAGTCGCACCAGATTAGTTCTAGGTACCATAAAGCCTACCTTGGACTTTTGTCTGCCGTAGTCAGGTAAATGCATAGTAGACAGCATGATTATAGTATCGAAGCTGCAGTTGAACACAAAGAGACAGCTCTTATACCTATTTCGGCCAAGCAATAATGTGAGACAGTGTTGCTAAGGCCTTTGAGTCGAAAACTATGTTTCATTACCCGAAAAGTTGTATTTCTGCTGCAAAAGTTTCTTTTTTTTTAAATCAAATAGTCTAAATATTATTTATTTATATATTAGCGACAGTAGAGCTCGTTGTGAAAGGGTTCATCCAGGGAAGTACTGCCACCTTACCTATTTCTGCCGACAAGCAGTAATGACATTACTGCGTTCCGAATTTGAAGAGTAAGGGGGCTGGTAAAATTACAGGCACATGTAACTTGTCTACTTATATCTCAGGGTAACGGCAGTGCACCTCAGGTCTTTGTGCTTTAAAGGTCTAAGTGACACTGTTCAATAACAGTGTCACTCAGCACTAGGCACACGACTAGTTCGTCCCGTCACCTAGTGTCAAACAAAATACGCTTTTTACTCGAGTACATTGAAAGAATCAATTATGACCCCGAAATGGAAATGCGCTTGTAGTTTTGATAATAACAAAAATAGTGACTTTAAGATCATTGCTTTCTCAACATTCCTGTTGCACAACGCGCAAATGCAAACACTGATTCGCAACGTCACACTATCGTCCCGCAGTCGTGACGTTGAGCTCCCACCTCGGATTAGCTCCCTACTCTATCTACTGTATAGTTACCCACTGTTATACGCATATTGTTCTCAGGTTTATTATAGGCCAGATTTTGCGCAGATGGCATGGTTTTGCAAGTTTTATTGTGAAACGGCTATTATAAAAAGTTACTATGACAGATAGAGACACATTTTTGCTGCTTTTAGTTAAAAATGGAGTAGAAAATATAAAGCGGCCAATCCCAGGGCTTTAATATCACGTGCAATTAAGTACGAAATTTAAACTGGCTAATCACGAAGCTTTAATATCACGTGTGATGAAGTACGACATTTTGTATTTTAAAATGACTGTAGTACATTCTATATAGACATGTACGAAAGGTTATAGTATTTATATATTGTTCACATGCGTAGTGAAATTACATTAAAATGAAATAATACATTAGACAATAGAGATAATAAATAGAAAAGAAAAAAGATATATCCCAAGTAGACGGATTATTTATGCAATGATGGACAAAACGTGCAAGAGAATTTGAAACCACAATATATAAATTACAATACAGAGTATATAATTACAATTGTGTTCCATATAACATGATTACATATTATACCTTTTTTTTTTTTTTTTTTCAAACTACAACATTGTAATGACAGCGGATAGAACAAAATAGTTTAAAAACTTGATTAGGTTCAAAATCATCCCCTACCACAAGAACTCAATAAATCACGCGTAATCTAAGCCGTTCGACAAATACAAAGCGAGAATGCGTGATGTAATTGAACTGTACACACACGCACGCATTTGGCACGCTATTTGAAGAGCACGCTTCTTGTGAGGGTCTAATTGGTTGTAATTTATGAGAGTGATCCGTGTTAATGGATTTGTTTTAAGGATTCCGGTAGTACACTTATCGAAAAGATTCATTTCAAATCATTTATGAAAATGTAGTTCTTCATGAATAGTATTTTTTTCATGAAATAACACTGACAAACACAACATTAATACGAGGAATACAAATAAACAGGCAGTTTTTGACAGTCGTCATCACAAACATTCCGGTCGACATTCGTAATTTGCCATTAACGGGGTTTAAAAGTGTAGTGAAAGTGGCAAATGGAGAAAATAGAATGGATTGAAATGAAGTTTTGAAAAGGGTTAGGGAAGAAAGAAATCTCTTTAATACTATAGAGTACAGAAGGGAAAAAGTTTGGACATTTGTTATAAACAAAGCACGAAGCAAACTCGAAAATGGCGAATCATCACATAACTAAAGCGCCAAAAAAATGCTCAGCAAAAATAAATCTAAACAATGATACATATGACTTTTTTTTTGCACAACGTAGAGCAGACTTTTTACCTTTCCAGTGACGACATTCACATAGCGGAATTTGTGACAAAAACATTTTATTTGTCTACTTTTGTACTAGATACCTATACAACTACATAATTAGGTATCTATACTTCTATAAAGCGTTTCAATATTTATCAAGCGCAAATTCGACCGTGTCTGGAATACAGCTGTTACCTCTCTGTCTGCCCGATGGTACCTGTCTTGGTCTCGGTGCGTAAACAAAGAGACTAATTGACAACGATGACAAAGATTGTGGAATCAACGCTTCTAAGGCTGATATTTATTAAATGAACTTTGACTTGGACTAATCAAAAATATTTTATCTACACCCATATTTAAACCCTCTATGATGTGTTCAAAAACCGCAAATTACGACCAGCATAAAGATAAACCGTTTTGTTAGAACAGATTTCTTAGCTGTGAAAATGTTATTATCAAATTCGATGCTATTATTACATTCAAATTTCGAACATCTCTGAAAAACAAAACAATTTGATTCGACCTCAATTCTAATATCAGTCGAGATGAAGTTTTATTCGATATGAAATGTCAATAGCAAACAGTTTTGACAAATTTCACACGTTCCTTGATATCGAACGATATGATAGTTGGGGCTTACTCTAGTTTGTCTATGAAATAAATAAAAACTACGGTGATTCACTCTGGGCATTTTGGAGGGAAAAGTGTCGTTTTTATTTTGACTTTCAATTATTTTGTGAAATCTGGTTTAAAGTGGAATAGGATAGTGCTATTGCACCTTAATCGAAGATTAAAACGCGAAATTATACGAATCTCGAACTAAAATACCCGTATCGGCCCGTTCTAAGGAATCCCGAGTCAATCCAAGCACGCCGCCTCAAATTGCCTATCCTCTTTGTGGTGGCCATATTTACAGAAACAATTAAACTTCATGTTCAGGCTGATGGCTTTGCCAAAGCCTTAAAAAATTAAAAAAAAAACTACGGTTGTGTGACATGCGTGAGAAAAGTTTTTATTTGCCGCCATTTCGCCAGTCGTAACATGCGGTTCCTGAACACGTCACAGAGAGCTTATAATATGTGTATAGATAAACCAGTGTATGTAACTGTACATAATTAGTCATTAAACACTCGAATTTTAATGCCTTTCGTTATATAACGGTCACATTAACTACAAATTTTTTATGATGTCAACTTACTGGACGAGCAAGTCGGGTGGTAAACGACACGCCACGACATGTCCACTAAATTTGCAGTACCACTCAGACCTTTAAATCGCAAAGATCTGAGGAACACTGCCACTGCGCCTATTGTCACTCTGAGAGATAAGATGACAAGCCCCACGTGCCTGTAATTTCAACAGCACCCTTCAAAAGCGAAACGCAGTAATGCTCACATTACTGCTTGGCGGCAGTAGTTGGACGAACTCTTCCACAAGGAGCTCTGCTGCTACTAATATGGCGAGCTGATGAATATTATGAGTTTTGCTACCATGTTATTTTTTAAGAAAAACTTTCCTAAATTTCTCGCAAATGGCACTACTGCCAGACGTCCGTTAAAACCAACTATATCTCTGTACTAGACGGTACTAGTTGCGAAAACCAAAACCAAGAATACAAGAATTCCTAAGGTCTATTTATTTGATCTGTAGCTCAGTTGGCAGAGCGGTCGGCTTGAAATGGCAGAGGCGCATGTTTGAATCCTACCAGATCGGAGGAACTTTTCCTTATATTCCATTTTTGTATTAATAAGTTTTTCGTAATTACTAAATGAACTTTGCCTAACTTCAAGCAAGAAGTTTGATTTAAAAATCTACTCTGCTTGCTTTGTCGAAGTTCGGTTTATAAATTTCTACCTTAGTCTCGATCACCACAAAAAAATAACCAGCTCTTTCCAATTGGATACGTTTCGGAAAGTGTGTGCAGCAACTGTACAATTTAGTTCCATACTTACCGTTACCTCCTACTAGGAAATCCGTTGCCACCAATTCGCAAGAAGCGTTTTCCTTCATCTTTCCTGATGCAAACGACAAAGGAATGGAAAATACTTCCATTTCCAGATAGCTACAATTCAGGGCTCATCATCGCTTCTGAGTTAGTCTTTTAACGATATGTTATTTTATATTATTATGGTCGTGTATCTATGACATCGAAATCCGATACACCAAATCTGTACCACCACTTGCACATTACACATTACAATGAATTAACCAACGTTTTTCTTTACCGACAGGTCTGGTTCAAAAACCGAAGAGCGAAATGCAGACAGCAGCTCCAGCAGCAGGCGAACACGCAAATTTCGAGCAAATCCTCGTCAAACTCCAAAACGTCATCAATATCATCCAGTAACAACCTTAAGGGTTCCTCTAACACATCCTCCAAAGTGACAACTTCAAAATCACAATCGACCAGCTCTGGTTTAACAACTACAAATGCTAGCATCACAACTTCGAGTCCAAACCTTCCAATCACACCAACGACATCTGTAAGTCCACCAATAAATGTCATTTGCAAGAAAGAATCGACACCTTCTAACTATGATTCGTCACCTCTGAACAAGAATATGTCGTCTTTGTCGCATTATAACTCAACTGACGCCCTTAGACTAAGCGGAAAAGAATCTTCTTCATCGGAAAATATTTCCAACGTCCATGGTTACGGAGTTACTCCGAAGCAAGAGTTATACAGCAGTCCAAAAAGGCTGGACTATTCATCTAAATTAGATTACTCGGAAAAGTCTTTCGGCAGTAGTCTTGTTAAAGACCAGTACAGTTCAAGATTAACTGGAAACTTGACACCACTCGGGTCAAATTCTTCAATAATGACGACGCCTTCTCCCCCTATAACTCCTCAGAGTCTGAACGGACCAGGCAACGTCTACCATCCTGATAATTATAATAGTTTCCACTGGCCGGGAAGCTCGGACTACATCAGGAGTTATTCGACTGGACATCACCATCAAGGTTATGGACAGAGCGCGTATAATTCTCCTTATTATCCAAGTCAGGTGAGTTGAATTCTACACTATTTTTGAGCTAGTTCTAAGCGTATTTGTTCTGAATCCGAGACTATTCAAATCTAGAAAATTCGGACCCACTTCGGTAGCTCGATTTTGATTGCCTCTCCCGATCGGAAAGTGCGTCTCTTCCGAGTCGAGGCGCATAATTGCGATTCACAACTGGCCGATCGGAAACTTTTGACATTTCTAATCGGAACAATATTTGATTTAACTAACAAATTAGAAAGATATACTAGGAATCAGATTCATCTTCTCGCTCGAAACCCATCTGATTTAGAGACTCGGATGGGCTACCCGATTGGATCGATTCCAATTTGAATTAAAACCAGCCTGCCGATGTCACTTGTGCCGATTCGAATCAGAGAAAATACAAATATCGCTTTTACACCCGGAAATAAAATGACATTTGGACACCTACGACATTTCGGACAGTCATTTCTCAGATGCGGAACCGGGGGTCTATTCTCGATCTCCGTCCGACATCCGTCCGAAACAATTACTGTCAAATAAGTAATATTCGACCAAATTAAAAGACAGGTATCAAGAATGAAGCTTCATTCGCATCACGGGTCTTTTCATTTGGTCAAGTATTGCTTATTTGGCAGTAATTGTTTCGGACGGATATCGGACGGTAATCGAGAGTAGACCCCCTGATACGAATCGGACGTAGCGCGAAAACCTACTTACTTTTCTCGTAATTTATTAAAGTCCTTAGTTACATTTGGATTTCATAAAGGCTTGGTTTTGGTTTTTGTTATCAGACGAAGAAGAAGAAGGTTTAAACTATTTGTAATCGTATTGCTTTGTAATAAAGTATTTTAGATTTCTATTTATGTGAATCGACACAAATAAGTAATCGTAAAACCCTTTTTTCAGATGGAATATTTCAACGGTTCCTCCGTCAACCAGAGCCACGGCTCCCACCACGGTCACAACCTGACAACCAATAGCAATCAACTCTACAACCAAGTATCTTTCGGGAACCCGTCGCCCCCAGCCGCTTGGCCCTCCCACCACAACATTCTCTCTTCAGGCCCAGAGTCCCCAGAAAACCAGTCCCAGAACTCCCCCCACTTGAGTATGCTCCAAGCGTCCCAGATAACGAACTTTTCCAATTCTGGCAATAGCTACTTCGCGCCTGAAAAATACGGTATAAATATGGTGTAGTGATTCTAGTCCTTTCTTAATTTTAATTATGTGAATAAATGACAATGGGGACAAGACGTAACGTTACATTACAAATATGAAATGTCATGAAATATGTACATTAAATTTCACGAAAAACATTTTATCGATTTAGAACAAAATATGCTGTTATTTACATGAAAAATGATGTTTCACTCCAAATTTGACTCAAAAGACTAAAAATAAGTGAAACAGCTGAACACAGGTCCCCTTTTATTTTGATAATTCAATTTCGCACACTGTTCAAATACTTCAATAGATTTCATTGTTATGTTATCTCCAATGTCATTTATTCCCTACACTTAATGTAAATAGATTGTAAAATAGTTGGGCGTAGTATTGGTAAATTATTTACCGACTTACTAAAAACTTATTTTGTTTCTGATTCTTAGAACAAAAAATATATTGACTATTTTTATTGACAAAATTATTAATAGAAGAAAATTCCACGAAAATCATTGAGGCTCTCTTTTTGAAAAATAAATCCTAATACGTCTGCGTAAGATAGGATTTATTTTTGGAAGTTTTCTCGGAAGTGGTAAAATTAAGAAACCAAGAAATATTTTAAAAATCGAACATCATCTTTTTCGTATTTTTCAATCATTTTCAATTTTTATACATATTTTTTTCGTACCTGAAACAAAAATTTATTTTGCTCTTTTTAGAAAAAAAATACGATTACAGTTGAAAATATTAAAAAATACGATGTAAATACTAAAAAATACATATCAATATTTGAAAATGACAATGTTCCCTATTTTACGAAACAAAATATTTCTTTAGTAAACCGGTTATTTACTTTATTATTTAGAACAAAAGTTTTACAGAGCTTTGTAAAGGGTTGTTTTTAACAAGTTTTGTCATTATGCTATGAGACATAAAAAAATAGGTTACAAAAAAATTGCGTATAGTTCAGATTCACAGAATAGAACAAAGTAAGAAGTGACTGCAAAAGTCGCGCGTGTGTGTCACTACAGCAGCGCTGCCACTGCGCTTCTGAATATTGTATGGAACATTCACAAACAGTGTCGCCACTACAGCTGCTTCTATAAGCGTCTAATTTGAAAGCACCCTAAGTTGTCAACGCCTTAAAAACTACGCATAACTTCAAAACTTGTTCAAAACAACTGTTTACAAAACACTTAATAAATGTGAAGTTTGAATTTGTCACAAGTATCAACGAAGCATCAAATTCTGAGGCCTAATTATTTGTATCGAAATGCTCTGCTCTCAAAGTCTTGCCATACTTTACAGCTCTTTATTTATATTAAAGTTAGAACACTTTGTGGTTTTGTGACAGTGTAGCACAGAAATTATTTATTTATTAGAAGCAACAGCTATCTAGCCCCCTAAACATCACAGCAAAATAAAACATTTTTAATATTCACCAATATCCCAGTTCGCAATCAACTTCCATTACCGAAATGAATTTTCGTAGAATTACGTAAAACAGAAACTTGCGGATACTTTTGTTTGTGGATACGTTTGTGGATGAAAAGAGAGAGATTCCACAAAACGTTGCCGCATATTGTCGCAACCACCGCTTAATTTTAAGACCAGTGCTAAATATAGATTATATTATAGAGAATTGTTTATTTTATTTAGGGGTCCTTTTTATTGAGTAGCGCTCTTTTAACCGTGTGATAAAGAAAATACAAAAATATAAATAAATAATTGGCTTAAAAATATGGAAATGACTACTATATTTCACCGTATCGAAATAAAAAAATGCAAACATAACGATGGATATTCCGAATGAAATAATTGCTAAATGCTACCTTATAAGGTTCATAAGGCTTTAATATCAATAGCATTAAAACGCAAATTCAATTCAAAAGTCTTTCTCAAATGATCATTCGGTTAAAATATCAAAGGACCCAAAAGCTCCCGATTCCTAATTGTACAGAATCCAAGTCATATCAACTTATAAATACTATAAAATTATTTAATTAATAAATATTTAGGCTATGTTTAGTGATTGTTCGCTAAATTTATTATAATTATTATAGTCGATAAAGCAAAATAAGCTTTAAGCCAACAAATGTTATATGGAGAAGTATTCTTTGATTAAAAAAAAATTTTGATTAAAAGAAAATAAAAATTTCTAAGCATTTCTTTGACATTTCTTAAATGAATGGTAGAGGTGTTCTATGAAATGAAATGTCGGTTTACACTAATTAAATTATTACAATCACTTAAGTGTTTACTTGCAAGAAAAGTGTTCCTTATTTTGTTTTATTGATTATACAATGTAAATACTTAATAAGATGTTTTTATTTTTAAATCCAATTTTGTAAATGTGTGTGCTCCAGTTGTATATGTGACTTATATTGTCTTTAGTATAAGGTCGACTTTACTTTGAACCAGGGAGGTAACTTGTAATCTTCAGTTGTTTTGCGTTATACTCAAAATTTGAAAGTCGTATTGACAGACTTAAAAATGTATCAGGACGTTTAAAGAAAGTTTTATAAATATATATATTTATGACTTTGTTTTGTAATAAGTTGAAGATTTCAAGTAAGATTTCATGAAAAAAAAACAAGTAACCTCGAAAGCGCATTTTGTAAAATAAGTACATAAGTATTTTTATTTCTAAACTCACGCAGAGATTATTAGTTAAATTATATTTTTATTTCAATAATAGATGTAACTATAATGAAAATTGTAATTTATAACTAAGTTTTAATTAAATAAGAGCTAATTAACTACGGATTGTACGTATCGGATGAAAAGTCATTGTATTTTTTTTAAGTTAAGCTGTTTTAATTATTAACTGATAGCTATTGAAATATTGAATCCGAATATATGCATATAAAAATACAGTTTTTTTGTGTTTTATTTCAATATACATATTTTTGTCTGTAATTACAACCGCAAATGGCTTTGGTTGGTCCCGCATAATAGTGAAATTGTTGAATCAGTCAGTTTGAAAAAAATATATAGGATAAACACTTATTACTATACGGTGTGAAAACGCGATACCTAAAAATTTTCTCGATAGAAAAAAAACAACAAACCTCGAAATTTTACAAGTCGCGATAGGTGCTTTGCATATACGCACCAATTATCATTTCTATATATCAACTGAACAAAATCGAACATGTATATACTATACGATATACATTTTTCAAATGGCTTCAGTTTCGAGTTCCTAGGTTTTCGCGATTGTTACACATAGGAAATGAAACTATTTTTCCGGATTTAAATCGCGTATATTTGTTTTTTTTTTCAAACAAACTTTTCGGGCCCTTTACAAGTCCCGTGGTCACGATTGACAGAAAAGTAGTAGTCAACCATGATCATGGGACCTGTAAAACAACGGTTTCTTTGAAAAAAACAAATATACACGATTTAAATTCGGAAAAATGATTTAATATCCCGTGGCCTTAAAAAAAACCAAAATGAAACGTATTAATACGGGAAAAATTTGAATTCGGACTTGTTTAGTTTCTTTTTTTTTATAACATCATGTGACGGGGCGAACAAGTCGAGCGCCTAATGGTAAGCTACACGCCTGTCCATGACAATAACAGTGCCACTCAGAGCTTTAAATTGCAAAGATCTGAGGGGCACTGCCACTGCGCCCTTCACCCTTGGACGTAAGTTGGCAAGTCCCATGTGCCAGTAATTTCACCAACAGTCGCAGAAGAGCTCCGTGTGAAAGATACCGTCCAGCGCCTTGGCTGCTTCTGCCGCCAAGCAGTAGCGTGAGCATTACAGTTTTAAACAGTAACGGCGCTGGTGAAATGACAGGTAA